CTAGAGTCTCAACATCTTTTTTTTACATCATGGCAACCAAAACTGAATGCAGTGTTAGGAATATAATCTCACGGTTGGTTGGCAATACATAAATCATGTAACAATGCTATACCTGTTTCTTTAAATCATGCTGTAAAATGTGATTGGTTGCTGTTTCCTCAATCGGCCATGAGATGGAGCCAGAATCACTGTTAGATGCTGATCTGAGTGTTTGGAAGCTGGCTGTTAGAAGTGCCATATAGTGATCAACGTGAGCTATTCTATGTTTTGCAACTGCTAGCAAACTTTGTGTACTGGACTGTTTGTATGATTATGGACTATGTTATTTGGATTATCCCTTAACTGAAAGAAGTTGATGGCTGACTCTCTTAACCATGTATGACCTGGACTGTTTGATGGACTCGGATACCTCTATTTCCACGAAAGTAAAAGCCTATTTAAACTGCAGTATCTCTGTATGCTGGTTTGTGTGTTCTCCAACAACTCTCTCACAAAGCTTCTCTGAATGCACTCGCTCTCCCAACGGGGAGCTTACCTAACATTGCCTTTTAGTCTTTTCTAAAAAGAAAGAAAAAACACCGGCAGCATCTTAAAAATGATCACACGGAGTGGCATACATTTCCGTGAATTGACAATCAGCCCATTTCAATGACCTCGTTCCCAAGCCTGTGATCCAGCAACCTGGGTGGTCCAAAAATGTGTTGCAGGGTGCCATTTTTGCCCCCAACAGTCACCATTTCATGAAGCCACCACAACTTCCAAGATAATTTTAGATGTAGTGATTAAAATGCTGGCCTAGAAACCAGGAGAGGATGAGTTGTAGTCCTGCCTTAGGCTGGGTGAGTTTGGGCAAGTCACTCTCAGCCCAACCAAACTCAGAGGGTTGCTGTTGTATGGAAAAGAGGAGAAGGAGGAAGGAGCATTAAGTATGTTTCCGTCCTAGAGTTACTTATAAGGCAATACAGGTGGGATAACAATCTAATAAATAAAACAAATATAAGTTTTCATAAGTGGCACCCACAAGATTTATCAAAACCTGAGGACGAACCCCATAATCACAATTACGTGTAATTTCTCAAGATTTCAGCCACTCAAAGAAAAATTAAAATATTTCTTATTAAATTTGGGATTTTAGGGATGTCATCTGAGGATGTCACATGTGATATCGTACCCACAGGCACCCTTGCCAAAGCCTGGTTCAAATGATCACCATCAAAACTTTCACTGATAACAGCTAGAAGCTGCTGCTCAGAGACCCTTGGCTGTAAACCATGGCCATCTCAGGGAGGTCCCAGGAAGGGCCGTTGGGCTTGGAAGAGGAGGAGGAGGAGGCACTGCAGGAGTGAACAGCCTTTGTGTTGAAAGTAGGAAAAGAGTTAAAGGTACACTAAGCAAAGGCCAAACTTCCACTGTACACTTTCAGGAGCTCAACCCTCCCCCAGTTTTCTTTCCAAGGTTGTTTTTGAGCTCTTCCTAACTCTGCTTCAGAGTCCTGGAAAATCTTATCAACATATCACACAACTTGACAACAGAATGCAACTATAGTATAGTACAGAAGCCAGCAGCTCAGTTTCACAAGAGCCATTGCTTGCTATTTGCTTTAAAATTCTTACAAATAGAATTTGAAGCATTAATTGAAGCATTCAGAAAAGCTTTTTGTCCCTTCTGGTCACTCCTGAGAGACAAACTGCACTGTTTCCAGACTGTTGCACTGGCCTTCCTTGTGTTCCTGACCAACACTTGTATTTCTCTGACGGAAGAGGTTCTCAGCCAGAGCAACGAGATTCTTATGCTGTTTCTCTCAGCCACTGTGGAATCCATTCCTGTATCCTGGCAGTTATATTGTTTCTTATGTGAAACTAGCAGGGAGCAATGTAGGACCTTCCAGGAATTTTGAATGCTGTGATCCTAGTTGCTCGTTTTACTCAAAAGAAAAGGTTGGATCCTTGTTGGAACAGAGTTTGGGGAGATTTAACCCAGAAACTGGGGATCTTAGACTCTTGGGAGGGCCAAGAGATATTTAAAATATAGATTGAAGAATTTAGGACATGAGATTCAATGGTTGAGAAAGTTTCCAATTAAAATCCTAAGCAAAGGTTTTATTACGAAGAGTCAGTCGAGGATATCTGATCTTGGACAGATTAGAGATACTGATTGGGGTGATCTGTGGTAGATAAGGAACTGTTGTAGACTTTCTACCAGTTAATTGATTTTAAAAAAAATCATTTCTTTTGGATTTGCATTTTAATTTTTTGAATAAAATAAAATAAGTTAAAAAGAAACCAGGTCCCATGATTTTCTGTTCATATCTCCAGGGCATGACAGATGAAACTCAACTGATCAACTCAGACATGAGACAACAATTCTAATACATCATGATTTTGGTGACAAGCAACAGGAGGGAGGATTTTGTGATTACTGCTGAAAACAGACTTATGGGTCCCTTTGGTGATTGATGCAGAACCCTAAAAACAATTCTGTTCTGGGCTAAGTAGATTCCAGCACCCCCGATTGTCCTTCAGTGAAAGAAGAGATTCAAAAAATATCAACCAGCCTCAGTGGGCACATGCATGCACATGGATTTGCTGCCCCCAATCTTTCTGAAAGTCTGAAACTAAACGGCAATAGTTTCAGTGCGTTTTAGTCTTGCAATTTAGATCACTATGAGACAACCAGAGGTTTTTTTGACTGACCCATAGGAAAAATAGACGATTCAAACATCTCAGCTCAATGACTGAATCAGATTCAAACCATTCACGAGCTTTGTCACTGATCCACGAGAAACATAAACCTCCTCTAGAAAGCAGGCAGGGATGACGGTTTGTTCAAAGAAAAAGAAGAGATAAACCTTCAAGTAATGACACCATTACCATTGCACTGAATAGAAAGGCAGAGATCCAAATCTTATAAATTGGGGGGGAAAGTGTATGTTACAAAGATATCTTAGATATCAACAACTGCAGAGTCAGGGGATAGACTTACCTTGGTGGCTGTATTTTCAGATTCAGTCAAGGTACAAAATTAAGGTGACCAGATTTTCAGATTGGTAAAGAGGGACACCATTGACGGGGGGGGGGGAGGGCTTGATTAAAAATTTTCTATTTTGTCAAAAGGTCACAAAAGGCGATTACATCACCCCAGGACACTGAAACTATCATAAATACGAATCTGTTGCCAAACATC